AAGATGCGTTCCTCTAAGTCTTCCTACCAATATGACCGAGTTGCGAAAACAAGGTCAAACAACTACAAGGAAAGTTTGTTTAATGAATCGTAAATGATGATTTCTTCCTCTGATGATGTCCATTATTTGAAAGACGAAGGCTCAGAACTGACTCATCTGGGTCGCAGGATAGTGGGTCGAGATCTTTTTACATAATCCAACAGTCACAAATTCAAGGAAATCCTATTTCCATGCCTGATGAGGCATTGGCTTTGTCAAATGAAATGAAAGGTACCCCAGTAGCATTCTTCGGACATTGTCTCAATCCCCAATTGCTGGCTCTTGTTGTATTTTGCACTAAAGGAAATTACCACTTCATTGTCTTTATAGAAAGCTTTAACCATACCTGCGCCACATGAAAGGGGCCTGCTGTATTTCTCTGGCACCATTTTTAGCATGAGCTGAGTAGGTTGGATCATTCAGTGTTTCTTGTTATTGCGGTTTTTTACTTGGATGATGTGAGAGGATTCAGCCAAATTGCAGGACTCTTTTAAGTCAGATTGTTAAAGTTGGCATCAGTTCCGCAGATTCCTGATTATTATTTATCGCTCCTCACTAGCCACAGGCTTTTTTGACGTTTAGCTTAAATATGGTTGTGAAAGTGATATTTTACTCTAGTGTTGTTCTATGTAGGACGTAAGCTCAGCACATTTTTACTGCAGCTTTTTACATTGCCGCATTCCTCAAGTTGTTGACAATCTAGAACGTTGCTCTTCCAAAAAATTTAAATTTTCAGATGGATACACTTTGGGGGTGATTTGTTTGAAAGAGCCTTCTTCATTCGTCCTCCCGGTGCCATTGGAAGATTGCTCAATTACTCTCAGAATTCAGACGCTAATGTCTATTATCTTACTTAATTTTGGGTTCAGAACCTTGAGAAAGTTACCTGAATAAAATCAGAATACTTATTCTCGCAGGTCACATACTTTCGTACTTTGCAAAATTACGATTGGTACTCAATCAGATAGCGTTAGGCTCGATACCACTAGCTCGAGTCCCAACTACAGCTGTGTTATTAACACTGATAAGTCATACAATAAAAATAGTGAGCACCTTATACTACTCTTTTATGTCAATTCATACCCTTTATTTCTCCTTTTTCTCTCACAGATAAGCCAATACTCGTGGAGCCGGTCGAGTCGCTCTATTGGCTAGATGAAGGTGACCCTCTCAGGCTAGACTGTGGCATACAGAAGCGGTCTCCACTTGGCACAGTCTACTGGGAGCGTAACGGCAGCCCCTTGGGTGAAAAGACCCCAGTGGTAGGTATAATTCCTTGCTACTATACCTCCAGAATATGCCTCATTAGCTGCATAAGTTGATTTTTGCAGAAGCGCTTCTCGAATTTTGGGTTGTTTTTGCCAAGATATGAAGATCAAGATGATGTGGCTTTCTGTTTGGTCGCAGTCTCCTTTTGCTGTAGAGTGTTGGTTCGACCTTGTTTTCGCAACTTGGTCGGAGCTTCAGGGAGACCTTGAGGAACGTACCAAGTCCAGTGTCCACTGCCAGAGTATTAGTGATTTCCAGCATTGGACCATTGATTTGGTACATTCCCAAAAGTTTCGCTAGCGTCGTAATTGTCATCGTCAGTGAGATGCTTACGATCGCGTTCCTCATTGACGATAACAATTACGATGCCAGCGAAACTTTTAGGAATGTACCAAGTCAGTGTTCCAATGCTGGAAATCACGATTACTCTAGCAGAAGACACGGGACTAGGTACGTTCCACAAGGTCTCCCTGGCGCTCCGACCAAGTCGCGAAAGCAAGGTCGAATCAACTCTGTTTTTTGCCAAATTAATTGCTGCTACCATGATTTAAATTATCTGGATTATACATCAAGTCTCATATTATTTAATCATATAACACTTGAAAACTCACATACCACCATTCTTAGCTATTCCTGTCCTGTATCATCTGTTGTTTCTTTACGTGACAGCATTCTAAGGTCTATATTGGGAATTAGTCACTTGATTGCTGCTTCTTTTCCTCACTTCTTCGTCCGTGGGTTCCCGGCTTAGTTTCGTCTACTCCCGAAGCACCACCTTCATTTTGTGTTCTTCGAGCCATGAGATATTCGCACGCCATGCCAACATTCTTATATTTGAGCTTTTCATAGCATTCCAACTATGTTAAATAAAATGCATACGAAGCACTTGGAAGTGACTACAAGTGATTCCTTGATGATGAGCATACAATTTCCAGTGATTGCTAAGGAACCCTTTAGAACCAACTCTATCTAGTAGACGGGCCTTATATAGTTTTCATATATACTATGCACTATTAATGGAGGAGATACAGCTGCAACGGCCTGTATATATTCGAACGTATACTGCTTTTACTCCACCGGCGACTTGCCTTGATAGATTCTTCACTAGCCCTTGAGTCGAAAAATAACTATTTTAAGTTTGGATTAGCGACAAAAATAAACTTATTTTTCCTTTCTAAATGGTGTTTTCGAAACTACCAATAAATCAGTTATATGTGATGTATTCACTTTATTTAGTTTAAGGTGATGAAGGATTTGAAATTCACATCTCACCTGTGACCCAATGGCACTAGTGGCAATACGGTGTAGGGGTTAACGTGTCGAGATTACACGCCGCACTGTCATGGTTCGACTCCGTTTGGGGGTGTTGATAAGACCTGATAAGCGAAGTCGAAACTGCAGTCCACCTTCGATGAGAGCAATTTTTGGTAAAGCAGGGCTATGTGAGATTCAATGGAAGCGTCAGCTCTATTCATAGCATTGTGGTAAAATTCATCTACCACTCCTTCATCATCTGAAACTAATTAGGAAGAATACATCTCATATAGAATAAGCCTACAAAATGTGAGAAAAAATGCGACTAGAGAGATGCATTGATAGTATATATATTATAACAATTAAAAACGTCTCTTGTCGAGTTAACAAAAAAGAACACGGAGAAAAATGATACTAAATTCCGGCTCTACAGGCTTTTGCGATTTTAGGATCTCTTGTGAGTACAAGTCACCCTCCGCACGCTCTTATTCTCCCTTTTATAGCCTACAGCGGCCTTCTTTCCTACCATCAGGCAAAACTCGTAACCACACCAGATGTGATAAGGAGTAAATGATGAGAGAACGAAGTAAAAAACACGATTTCCTTATCGCTAGTTTCAGAATGAGGTTGCAAGATCCTGCCTAAACTAGCATCAGGTTTTTATTGAGAAGCCGTCGACATCTTCTTTCACTTAACGTCAGCAATTGCAGACATACTCAAAGTCAATAGACGAGCTTTTGATGCCAAAATCCTTTTCAGCTTAATCTATCAGCGTCAAGATGGGATGAGCCAACTGGGGGGACGTAGACTATGGAGCAGGCGTCAGTTTGACAGTCAGTCCTAATGCAATAGCTATTACCGAACGGGGGGGCTGTTGTAGGAGGCACTATCACTTCAGCAAGCAAATTAGCAGCTTTATTTGTGTCTAAATGTGCATTTGTAATCACCTACAATATTATTAGATCTATAGTTGTAATCTGTACTTTATTTTGCAGGATGTGCTTATCGAGAAACAGGGCGACGTTCTTCATTTCCAAAGCCTCCGTCCAGAGCATGACGGTGTGTACCAATGCGTTGTGGCTGTGGATGGCTTCACCGAGAAGTTTGCCAATAAAAACATCACCGTTCGCGTTAAAGGTGAGTGAATTTCTTTCTATAATAAGGCTTTAACGGGCATTTGTAAGAAAAGCAAATTGCTATGATAGAGAATGACTGATAAATCTATTTGCAACTAAAATCTTTACAGATAATTTTTTTGGAGACCAGATAATGTCCCTCTTTCACTGTTATAACCAACTTAATACTATTTCCTTGCTAGCTAAGGCACATAGTTTATCAATTATACTCCTTTGAATCATGTTTGTCGAACACAAGGTGATGCGCTTGGCTTAGTTAAATCACTTTTGCAAAACAAGCGCATTTAAATATTTAAACAAATTACTCCAGTTAGGATGAATTATGTTTGATTCAATTTATATATGATTGTTGTGCTTACTTCCATTTCGAGTGAAAGCGCTTGGTGAGGAGATTCCAATGTCGATTCCACCAGAAGACGACGGCAATTCCTCTTGACCAGCTGTCAATTGGCTTTATTGGAACATTCATGCTGACGCTGTTTCCGAGGGAATCTCCTTCGATTCCGGTGAAAAGGTGCTAACCTTTTGTCCGTCTATTTATGGATGTAAG